ACACAAAGAACAGCGGTGCTGCGTGGGAGATTAAAATTGTCTCGACTATACTCTTGACGTTTCGGTTCAGAAATGCGATATTGCATGTGATCGACATCTATCTTACCGAGGAGGTAATGAAAGGAGTGGCCTATTCCTTTCCCTGTACGTTTGGCTTGTCTATATCTATATCTATCCCTGTATACCCTCGAACTATTACAGGTTACAAAGGGGCAACAAAAATTCCACGTTTTACTACTTTGGCATTCGGCTTTAGGGCTAGCGTGGGCTCTTGATCTTTCACTCAGCCCTTAAATACCGGTCTTAATCGGTGGCCCTTGTTTTATCGATCTTTATCGAATTGGTCACCTACACAATAATAGCGTCTAATTTGTTAAGTTCGAGAGTGTGGCAGAATTCAAAGGCAGAACACAATCATCTCGTTTGAACAGTGGGTTACAGTACCTTTTTGCTTTTCTTTTGGTCGCTGTGTGATGCTTTGTGTTGTTTCATGCACTATAAAAACCTTACATTTTTTAAATTAAAAAAATGGATATATATCGGAGGAAATATTTTTCTATTTAGGTTTGACCTATTTTCAAAGAGGGCCAGCCATTTCACCGAAAAACTAAATTTACAAAAATAAGCGCGTGTATTTTCATATGAATTTGTACCAAGAGTTGCCTTAAGGTTTGGGGTAACTATTCTATGGACCCACCTTTTTTGAAGATCTTTGCACCAGTCGCTTAGGGTTTCTATCGTTCCAGTTATTCTTATCAAACCAGCACATCAGTGGTCTTCTCCTACATTAGGCCAATGACAAAAGCTGTTAAAATCTAGACGAAAACACTCAATCCCCAAAAATAAAGGACAAATTCCAGTCAAGGATTTAATGATTTTTTAAACTCGGTGTTTTTGACAAAAATGACTTAACCCTCATCAACTCCCTTTTGCAGCCAAATTAAGAATAGCTTATTAATAACGTTATATTTAACAGAGTAATTAAAAGTAAAGGTAATGCGGTAGTGAAATGTGATTAAACTCTTCGAAGGCGAGAGTGAGGGTGTTTCAAAAAACTTGGGCTTTTCCATACCACTAGAATTAAACCATCTCTGGGGAGACGACATTTTTCGTTTCGTTTTACTTTGATTGACAAAAGCGTGGCCAGATTTTGTGTTACAATTCCCTTCCCCCGCCCCCATCTTCCCTACCCATCCCCCCAAAAAATGGAATTGGGCAGCAGGGCTCTAGACCAAAACGTTTATAGCATAAGGTGTTGGCGATGGAAATTACCAAAGTTCCGGCTGTGTCCGAAGAGAGAATGATTTACATTCGGCCAGTTTTCGGTCCTCTCCAAAGGTCTAACTCAATACCACTCTACTTTTTATGAATTTCAAGCCTCTCATTTACAATGATATTTTTCATCAGAAGGAATTTTGGCTTCTGCGCGGTCAAGGATCCATATATGAAAAGGGAGGGTTGGGGTTTTCTGGGAACCAATTGCATACAAAGGTAACGCAAAAAACAAACAAACATACAACCGCACCTGACATCAGAGAGTCAATAGGTGAGCTCAGATGATGTGCCCACGCAAAGTGAAATACTTCCGTCGAAAGGGTTGGTTCCAGAGGGCCACATAATGTTACTTCTTTAGAACTTTCTGCGCTCGAATTTGTGAAGGGTCGTCTTTTTAAGCCTAACAAGATCAAACTGATTATCCTATAGTTATTCAGGCCTTCAGAACGAACTTAGTTAAAGCTTTTTTAGATAATTTAATTTATTACCACTAATATTTGCATTTTTCCCTTTTGCGTGCCTTGTTTTACGTTAGTCACGGAACAAAATGCTGACGACTTTTCTCTGTAGATCATTTTAATCGTAGTAGTAACCAAAGCTTAGAAAGGTGAACGCTTCTAACTCTTACACACTTTTTTCGTTTCCGGGTGGAGGTCGCAATGCTCCTAGTTATAAAGCTACAATGTATAGAATGATTGAACTTAACCAAACAAAGTGAAACATTAAGTGCTTGTTTTAGTTTTATTGACCAAAAAAAAAACTAGCCAGACAGGATTACGTTTTGCCCAACTTATGTTATAATTATAATTGGATGAAATCTTTCGGTAGTCCCAAGAATTTTTAAAATTCCATTTCTATTTCTGCATAGCCCTTCAGTATAGTTACAAGTTTTCTCTAGCCCAGTAGGTTCAAATTCGGACACTGAACCTGATTTGAGTGATAATGCCTCCTGTCGCAGAAGTATAAATGAGTTTGTCGTACATAATATATCGAGGCACTAACAACCCAATTTGCGCCTCTGATATTTCAAGCTAATCGGCATAAGTACGAACATAGGAAGCAAAAAGGGATTATGGGAGGTTTTTCTTATAAGTCAATTCACAAGCTTTGTTGGACTCAGTCGCTGGTATAGCACGTGCTGTAATAATCGCAAGACATTAAATTTGTGGTTATTTGGCCCTTGGCTAGACGCCTGTGACAGTCATTCTGGGTCTTGTGACTTGACCTAAGCTTAGATAAAAAAAAAAAAAAAAAACACTGGCCTGTTTCGATCATCAGTACAGTAGGTCTGTCTTCACTGTTTTACGAACTGATGCTGCGGAATGCCGACAATGCAACTTTCACTGTGTGTACGCAAGGAAGGCCATCTCATACTGAAGTAGCGATGCAAGGTGTTAAATGCAGTCAGCATGAATTATCATTGAGATACTTTTAAAATCGTGGTTGGTGGTCTGGTAAGATTTCAATTGCAACATTCCTCTCCAGGGGGTGGGGGGACTCCCTATAATGGTCTATACGGGAAGGCTCCATCGGAAGGGGTATCTTTTTCAGGCGGGTTTATAAAAGGGTAGGAATTTCATTGGTTGAAATATAAGTAATGGTAGAAATCTGTCATTTCGGTCTGTAAAAAGGCTCAAAAGTGCCAACAGATGCATTTTATAGCGGTGTAAAAGGAGAGAAAATGTTCTGTTTTTGTGATTTATTCATATTTAAAAAAAGTGCATTTGCAGCAGTTATAAGAAATGCAACGTTTTTCAACAAGGGATGTGAAAGGGGCACTATTAACTGCAGTTGTCAAAAGAAGGTTTAGGAAAGAAGTACCTTTTTTCTGTCAAAAATGGTTTATAAAAAATAGGGGCTGGACCTCGGGGCAGAGCCTTCCGTATAAAACTTTACTAAGTCCCCTTCGGTTTCCGTCTTTCCCTTTTTTACTTATATAGATAGAAGATAAGCTTGCTTTACTACAACCAGGAAACGGATTTGATTTAAAACGTTGCCTCAGCTATTGACAAAGTTATAGCGATTATGGTGTGTTTGATCGATCGTATTTCGAAATACAAAACTAAAATGTGAACTTGACATTGTAGAAAAAGGTATGTCGCCTTTATGGAATTAATTCCATTTATCATTTATTAATTATTGTGCGGTTGAGTCATTCCTTGTTTGCTTAACGAATGTGCTTGTATTACAGCCATCACCAAGAGCCCTTCTGCCAAGGCCTAAAGTTCCCATTTGTTTGTTTGTTTTTAATTTGTTTTTAGTAACTTTGAGGCACTTGCACATGCGCGTTCATGCGTACAGGTAGTTACGGCCCGGCTTTATTAATTCCAGTTTTATTTTTGTAAACCTTTGTAGCTTGCTCTAAAAAATTCATAAAACTTTTGAGGCCTGCAAAATCCTTTTTCTGGCGCCTATCTCTTGTTTCACAGAGAGAAAGCCATATAATAATCTCAGTCTTAATAGCTTCGTTTTCTCAGCCTAATGCCCGTTTTCAGGATTTTCCCCTACAATTTATGGCCCCCCAAAACTCGGGAATTAATTTACATTGCCGGCCAGTAAGAGGTATTAATTTATTTACTTATTTCTTAATCAGAAAGCCAATTGCATGCACTTTGTTAATATCTTTTCTTCTCTTTATACCGTTAATCTGCTTTGAGACTCTCCACACTGTCTCCTTTTAGCTAATTGTCCTATCTCAAGCTGAGAATAACCTTTACCAACCCGGTAAAAAAACCACCTCTTTGTCTACAGATAATTTACCCTGGAACAGCTGATAAGGCAAGGTTGGTTAAGCTCATGCCCCGTGATTATCAATAAATACATTAATATTATCAATAAATATATTTAAATTAAAAAACCTCCAACCAACCAACCTATGCCACTGATATTAATATTATAAAGGAAACAAAGGGAGATGTAAAGAATCAACCATAAGAGGACACAGAAAAAATCTGAGCCGCAGATGGGATTCGAACCCACGACCCTCCGTGTTCTAGATCGGATGCTCTAACCTCTGAGCTAGTCAGGACTCGCTGGCGAGCAAGGGTCCTTCATGGGTGAGACATTTCTTGCTATTAATGTGATTGTGTGATACAGTTAAGCCTTAATGTGTTGCTTGTGATGGACTGTGTGACTGCGAGATGCGGTTCGCAAGTCCAACCCACAAAAATGACCCTGGCTCGCCAACGAGTCCTCAGTACCTCAGAGGTTAGAGTATCCGATCTAGAACACGGAGGGTCGTGGGTTCGAATCCCATCTGGGGCTCAGATTTTTTCTGTGTCCTCTTATGGTTGATTCTTTACATCTCCCTTTATTTCCTTTATAGTATTGAATTAGAAAAAAAAAAGCTCATGCCCTGACTTTTGTCGTTAATGTTGTATTATACATTTCCAAGAAATGATAGCTCATTCTCCTTTGACATTTCTTAGACTTGATAACCAAGCCAGCCCCCATCAAATGGCAAAGCCAAAAAGTCAAAGTTGATTATGAATTCATAAAAGGAATGTACGCTCCAAACAGAAGTCCTCTGCCACGAAAGAGTAAGTTCTTTACATGACCCTTACATTTTTTGCATTTCTTAAGTTCTTTCTTTGTTTAGCCGTAATTTGCCGTTTTTTCTTATGTACTACGATCATATTAGGAGGAGATCTGGGAACTAGATAAGCCTTGCAGTGACTGTAAACACTGTATTCAGCGGGTTCTTTACCCAGCGACCAGTACGGTATGTACGATCATGTACGATCAAGTTGATATTTTCCGCGAAGCTTATAAGTTTACGTTTATTGGCAAAATACTGATATTTATCAACCCAGGACATGTGGTGATGGAATATTCTTCGTTTTCGGGAGTTGCTAGCAGACGTTCAATTTTCTTGCAGAGTTCTCAACTTCCATTCCTCCGTCTAGTGAAATATCATGTATAGTTGTGCAATTGGTTGCTTTCGAAGACACGCTGTAAACAAATTCGTTGGACCGGATCAGGTAGTTCCTTGCATTAACCGGTTTATTGGGGCACAAAGTAGTCCGTACAGATGGTGCTTCCTAAGACGAAATTCTCATTACGTAGCTCCCAAGAATCGAACATTTATCGGTTGGCAAAGGCAGCGAATATTTGGTCTTTATCTGCCTTCTAGAACTTCTCACGTGCGTTCACGTTCCAGCACTAGTGGAAGTCTTATTAACAATGGAAAAGAGGAGAAGCAAGAGGAGAACGTTAACCCTGCAAAGAAACAACTAAAAAGTGACGATCTCTTTCGGATATTATCACTTGCCAAACCGGAGTATAAGAATCTTGCCGGTAAATTAAATCTCTTTAAAGTTAGTTGTATAATTAAGAGCAGTCAACCAGCGAGAGCTTGCGTGTCACTCTCTCATTTGACAGCTGATAGGCGATCAAATAAGCAATTGACTCTGAACTCCCTAGCTCCATAATGAGTATACTAGGTTAAGAAAGTTGATCTCTTACCTTGTTTGTCCTGTAATTTTTAAGTGCTAGTTTGGATAATAATGCAATACATGAATAGGAACCATGAATTATTATAGTATGAATGAGCCATTACAACTTCACGCCGATTTAAGTGTGTACCCCAAATTTTGGGGTTATCAAGTATTCATATATTCAGGCTATTGTTCTTGCCATTGTCGATTACCTTCCGAAGAATCCACGAGCGGAATTCCTTTGATTTAGGTGCGATATGTCTCTTTTGTTTCGAATTTTGTTGCTTGATTGACTTTTTAATCCCCATTGTTACCTGATGAGTTTTAAATTTATCCATTAAAATACTCGGACTTGCCTGTTAAATTTGCTGCAGTCTGTGGGAACGCTTACAACTCTGGTTGCATAACATATTTTCGGTCACGCACCGTATTATAAAGGAAACAAGCCTGATAAATTTGAAGTTGATTAAAGCTTATAAATACCTGGTCTCCAATGGTATTTTTTAATTATATACTCTCTTTCCTTGAAAATAATTTGGCGTTTAAAGAATTGCTGCGGAAGTTATTTATTAGAACGTTTTATTCATTCAGTAGCTCTGCAATCAAGAGCGAACAACTCTTTTCAAAATGTAAACAACGCAAGCGGTGAATGCATTTAACGGGATGACACAGTTTTATTAGAGTGTAATTTCACTTTCTTGGACGTTTTCGCTTGCCTTTCAGTTTTTTTTTGTGGAACAAAACCTTGCGTTTCAGTTACGTGACTGAAGGGCCCAAAATAACCGCGTATTGTCAGTTCACCGATTCGCCGATTCGAGTGAGACGGGAAATATCTAAAATCAAAACAAGAGCTGTAATCGACAGATCAAAACTTGCGGAGTTCATAATTCCTCGAAATAATTGTGTAGAAACGCTTGTATAGTTTCATTGCTCTGGAGAAATGAATAACTGTTATGATTGAATGAATGGATAACTCTCGGCCGGATTTTAATTAAAAGCGACAGGCGAGAAAAAATGCGTCAGCGGCTTGCTTTGTAATTCGAAACCTCGGCAAGAAAAAAAAAATCCAATCTCGGTCCACAGTGGTCGAAATTTCTCGTTCAAGATCTCTTTTTGAAGCTCTCAAAATTCTCCTTTTTGAAAAATGCGTGTCCAAGTCGAAGAAGTTTTGCGAAAGACTTAAATCCATAAACTTCTACCGCAATATGTGCGATAATTCTCTGCAGTTTTATTGACACACTTAGAACAAAAGGATACCTTTAAAACTTCGCGGCCCTGGCCAGCTTAATTAAGCCATTGTTCAATTCCTTTGAATTCGCTTCTGAGTCTTCCGCCATAAAATCTCACCTTCTTTGAACCGAGTCAAAACGAGTACTCTCGAAGGGAAAGTCCAGAGGAATAAATTGAGCCTTCAGGGTACAAAATCCAGCGGTTATGCCCATTTCTGAAATACACACTTAAATCGGCGTGAAGTTGTAATGAAAATAAATATATAAACAAATAAAATGCATTGTCACGTCTAGAGACCTCTTCCATCCTGTCCATCTGGGGTAGGTGAATGGGAACAATAATGGATAACCCCAATACTGGCATACAATTTCTCCTGATTGATCTCCAACCAAACATTCCTGAAAGAATTAATCGAGATAATTTGATAAATTCTCCTACCTTTTAATATCTAATGATTATGTATTTGTATTTTAGGAGAAGATTGATTTTGGTCAATCTTGGGATTCAAAGGGTTACTTGTGTAGAGTTTATGAGAAGCTTGTTTATAGGAGGATGTCACTGATGCCGTCATCTTTCTTTTTTTTATGCTAGGAGCCATTGGTCTTTTGTTCATTTCCTCAGCTGTTACCATGTCTGTACCATTTTGTATGGGAAAGATCATTGACATCATTTATACATCAAGTCAAAATCCTGCACAAATGGTGGATACACTGACATATGTCTGTAAAATCTTGTGTGGAGTTTTCCTTTTGGGAGGAACAGCTAACTTTGGAAGAGTGTACCTTATCCAAATTTCTGGTAAGAAACTCAAAGTCTCTTCTCTGTCAGTCTTTTGACCCTTGTCAGTATAGTTTGTAGTCTCCTTTTCAGCCATGTGACCCTAAAAACAGCTGCAATGTCAACTATAAAATAGTTGGTTGCCTTATGTAAAATTCTCTAAACTTCTCCAGGCCAAAAAATCATCAAGAGACTGCGTGAAAGACTGTTCAGTTCCATACTTAGACAAGAAACAGCCTTTTTTGATCGAACAAGGACAGGAGAGCTGATCAATCGTTTGTCAGCTGACACCATCTTGGTGGGAAAGGCTGTCACAGACAATGTATCAGATGGACTGAGAGCTGTTGCGCAGTCTCTGGCAGGAGTATCCATGATGGTGAGTTCATTAAATCTTCAGTGAAAACCATTATTTTGTTGTCATTTTGCATCGACTAAGGGACAGGGTTCATAAAGAAGTACATGGGGTCCTTACTTAAACTACGATGGTGACAGCAATGGGATCATCAAAAAATCAATAGGTTTAAAGAGCAAAATAACAACTCTGCATGTGCATCACACTTTTTTGTAAATTTCTTTGCCATCCTAGCTCGACATATGATGGAAAAGACCAAATTTTAAATTTTAATTAAACTTGAGAACATGAATGGCAATGCAATAAATTCTATCATCTCTGTGTGAAATCGAGCATTGTCCCTGCTCTTCAGCTCCAACCTAAATTCCCCTTTAAGTAACAAGGACTTGGTACAAAAAAAGTTTGAATAGGATGCAAAGTCTATTTTTCAGCAGCATTTTCATGGAAGTCGCAGCTGTTGGATCATAACGTCCCTAATAGTAACATAACAAGAGTTAATTCATTCGCTGCTTTAGAAATGAGAAAGGGCATAGAGCCAAAATGTGTCCCACAATTGTTTTTGGGATTGTTATTGTGGACACGCTGGTCAGCTGTTGGCCATTTTTTTTTCCCCATTCCCAGTAGCAGTCCGAGAAGTCTTTGTAAACCTTAATTTGGACCAGTCCCTCATCTCGTTTCTAAAGTGGTGAATTAAGGGAGCATATTTTTTTCAACTTTTAGTTTTATGTCTGCCCCAAGCTGGCTAGCATTGTTCTTGGAATTGTACCTCCTGTTGCAATAGCCATTGTCATGTACGGTCGCTATCTTCGCAGTATCACCAAGAAAACACAGGACTCTTTGGCACAGTCAACACAAGTACTAGTTTGCACTAAATTGCATTTTATACATTAATAACAAGTATCATACAGAAAATAATGAATTATAATAGTAATAATAATAATAATAATTAATTTTTAATAGTAATATGACTCCAACGCAGGAAGACAGGCAACATGAGATGATTGTATATTTGGCCCCTGGCAACACAAACAATTTGGAAGTGGCTCTTGGAATAAATTGAAGTTCAGATTTTCCAGTGCACAGTGTATCCCCTTTGATAGTTCTGAACTTCTGGTTATTCAAAGGTCTCGTACAATACTGCACTGAGCTGCTTTTTTGTTGCTGTATGTTGATTGAAGAACAAAGCAATTGGTAATTCAGTATTTTGTAGGGGTAAAGAGTCTCCTGTTTGGTCAGCAATTTATTAATCTAATATCTTGGTGTGGTTCAATCTTGCCCTTGATTTATATTATACAATTAACAACTGAACCACAACACAAACATGTACAAAATTTGGAAAAGGCAACTGATTTATTTCAAATAAGAAATGAAATACCGTATTTATTCGATTAACCGCCCTGGGCGCTTATTAAATTTTTGGACCTTGAGAGTGGGCGCTTATTAGAGGTGGGCGCTTATTAGAGGTGGGCGCTTATTTGAGGCTGGGCGCTTATTACATTTTCACCATTTTAAGCAAGTGAAGTATGTTTATTTTGTTATTAGCATTTAATGCTAATAACAAAACACGAAGAAGTAACAAAGCAAGGTTTCTGTGAAATACTCTGAAGAAAACTCCGTCCTCGGGGAAGTCTCTTATTAGAATTTATTCACTCAAGTGGGTGGGGTGGGGGTGAGCGGTTATTTGAGTTTGATTGGGAGGAGGAGGGGGTGGGCGCTTATTCAAGGCTGGGCGCTTATTAACTTTTTTGGCCTTTAGGGTGGGCTCTTATTCGAGGTGGGCGCTAATTCGAGGTTGGGCGCTTATTCGAATAAATACGGTAAACATTAATTCATTATTTGTTGAAAATGTTTTACGCTTATGTTAATTTTTAGGTTGCAGAGGAGAGAATCAGCAACATACGAACTGTACGGGCATTTGGACAAGAACTGAAAGAGATCAAGATGTAATGAGTTTTTTGTCACATTTTAATTAATGCAAAGAACGACTTGTAGTTTCTTTGTACCACACCACTGGCCTGATCTCATTTAAAGTTAGTCCTTTTTGTTATTAGTAATACAAATACATGACAAAAATATTTAAAAGGATGAGGAGAGAAGCATGTTATATTTGATTTCATTAATTATTTGTTTTTAGGTATGCAGACAGTGTGCTTGATGTTTTTAAACTTGCTAAGAAGGAAGCTGTTGCAAGAGCAATATTCTTTGGATTTGTAAGTTGTTTATTTGCAATTAGCCTGTCCATCCCTTCTTCTCCTGCCTAGGGTTGTGGATAAGGAAATATCCATACAATAAAAACCAATTATTGTCACTGGAGTGTTAGTATGGTCCTAGGGATCAAGGATGTTCAAGCAGCTGTGCCCATCCCCAGGTTGGTCCCCTAAAGGGGTTTAATTCTAATTTTCTGATTAACATGCCCGTCCTGATTATCCGGGATAGTCCCCCCCTCCCCCATGAGAAAAGAGGGTTGATGTAAAATTAATATGGTACTACCCCCAGAAAACGTTGCTATGTGTGGTTGAAAAAGTGTGACATTTTGTTTGATTTCAGACAGGACTGTCTGGTAATGTTATAATGCTGGCAGTGTTGTACAGTGGTGGAATGATGATGACAGATGCACAAATCACTGTTGGTGATCTTACATCTTTTCTACTCTATGCCGGGTTTGTTGGCATATCTTTTGGAGGTAAATCAAAATTTGACAATTTCAACAATTTCCTATAGGACCTCATTAATGTTTTGAATTAGGCTGGGATTCCTAGATTCTTTTTAATGTTTGGGTTTCAGACTTAAAGGTTATCCTCTTTAATACTACATAATTTTTTTGTGTTTTATTTTTCCATTTTCTTCTGAGTAGAGCAGTTGAAAAGTGATAATAATAATAATATTACGATACAAATGGAAAAGGGCATGATACAGTGAAACTAAAATTATTTCCTCTTTTAGGTAAGACAGTGTATTCAGGATAAAGAGTAAAATAATATAAAAGATAGGAAATGGGAAATTTGTATGCTGCATATTTATCCAGGGGTGATTCGATTCAGTTTGTAGAAAAAGTCTGACATGTGATCTCTCAAAGAGACCTCTCCAGCAGCATTTTGCTCATTTATACTATCTGTCTATCTGCTTTCTTTTTTATTGTGTATATGTTTTAACTTTTATATACAGTGGAACCTCTACGACCAAGGCCCAAAGGATTGGCATAATTTGTTATATATTGTACTATTTCTGGGACAAAGAATATCTTTGTTATACTTAGGAATATGTTGTATAGAGGTTCGTCATTTGGGGTTCCACCGTATTCACCTATTCACTCCTGTGAAATTTTTCTAAAACTATGTAAATAAGTTCTGTTAGTATATGACATAATGCGTCACTGATATGGCTGTATATAATATGCCCTTTCCTGCAGGCCTCAGCTCCTTTTACTCAGAACTCATGAAAGGGATTGGCGCAAGTGGTAGACTGTGGCAGTTAATTGACAGGACTCCCACCATTCCTCTGTCAGGTGATTAAAAAACTGACTTCTGACCTTCTGTCTGTTTTAAAGGGCCTGTGTCACTGCAGCTTCATCCATTTTGTCTAGTTAGACCAGTTACAGTGAAACTTGAAAACAATGAAAATTTAAGCCAAAGAATTAGTTGTAAATGATAAATCACAAATTCACAACAAACACATAGTTGCCTACTGAACATCAGTTTGTTTTGAAGTATTTTCAACAGGAAAAAAATTATAGCCTTTGTATTCTCTCTCTGTTTTATACATCCTTCCCTTTTTTTCACAAGATGGGATATGTACGTATAATCCTTTCTTAGTATAAAAGAATAATGCCTTAGACGTTTCAGCACATTGTCTTCAAGATCAAAGGTACTAAAATCACCTACAAGCCTGTATACAGCTGCCTCTGCCTAGAGGGAAGAGGGCAACTGTACATAGGCTAAAAATCACCATTCTTTTAAACAGCACAGACCTGTATGTTTCCCCTTATTTATATTTTTATTCCTTTATCTATTAGGGGATTAGTCCCGCCAAATAAAATTTAATATTGTTTTGTGGTCCTGAGTACTCTTGGATTAATAACCAAGGGCTGGCCTAGCCTGCACCATCGATGAAACTAATCTCTGGTTACTAACCAGGGTTAGATTACGTCTGTGACGCAGGTTACCATGGTGAACCTGATGCTGTATTGTTCATTCTCATTAGCATTAAATTCGTTTCATGTAAAGTTTAACATTTGACCCTGGCCTAACATTCCTATCATGTGTTTAGGAGGCTTACGACCAGACATCCATGACTTAAACAGGGGGATCCTGTTTAACAACGTCCATTTTTCTTACCCATCTCGGTCTGACATGCCAATCTTCCATGGACTCAACTTGGAGGTTCCTGCAGGATCGGTCACAGCAGTGGTTGGACCGAGTGGGTCTGGAAAGAGTACACTGGGGTCATTACTTCTTCGCCTGTATGACCCGGATCAGGGTCAGGTGATCGTTGGAGGGCATGACGTAAAAACTCTCTCACCTGATTGGCTTAGAGGTGCTGTGGGAACAGTTCATCAGGTGAATGAATAGGCTATTTCCAATTTGCCCCAAGCCTCAGTTTCAGAGCGAGGCTAAGTGCGGAGCCATTTTGCCTGTACACAGACGTTGTTTTCTCTTTCAATTTGACAATCGGTGAGCACACAAGTGATGCAAGCACGCAAAAACGAGCGCAGATCGAGAGGAAAAAAAACTATCTAAATATCTATTTTCTTCCTCCCCAACCCCTACCCCCTTGAGCTAGTGGTTAGTAAATCCCCCGCGGTTTTACATTCTTACCCGCACTCAACGGTTACTAAAGGGAAAATAGGGCAATTGATAAGAAAGTGATTTTTTACTCTAAAGCAAATGAAACCCATTTTCACAAGGAAGGTTTTGCACTTGAAAGTTTTGAACGTGAGAGTTACTGGAACTCGGACATGGTCTATTTTCCTTTGGTTTCCAAAGTGGACAAAAAATTTTTTCATACTTCTACTTTTCAGACCGTTTCAAAGAGAAAACTTATCAAAATGTTTTAAAATTTTTCTTTTCCTTCAAGGAACCAATTCTGTTCTCATCTTCCGTTGCGGATAACATTGCATATGGTGCAGCCACAGGTCAACAAGTCAGCCAGGATGATATTGAGGACGCTGCTGTACAAGCCAATGCTTATAGCTTTATCAAGAGCTTCCCTAAAGGATTTGATACTGTTGTGGGAGAAAGAGGACAAATGCTTTCAGGTTATATTCATAGAATAGGGTTGAATTCACCACAAGCAACCATGCACCTCAAAATGATTAAATCAATCAGTCTTGCCCCTCCCCTAACCCAACGTTTTGCATTTTTTTGGTAAGCAGTGAGGTAGTGTTAATATTGTGATGGGGTAGGGTAGGGACAAGCTTTACACACTGTAAATCCATTTTCTACTATTTACTTTGACCGTGCAAAATGGGAGGGGTGAGTCAGGGGGACTCTCTAAAAATATGCTTATGGTGACTGGTATTTTTGGTTGTTGGGGAGGGGGCAGGGGTGGAAAGCAACAACTTATATCATGTAAAAGTACTTCCAAAGAAAGAGGTTATATCCTACCCCTCCCCTAACCCAACTTTTTGCATTTTTTTAGTAAGCAGTGAGGTAGTGTTAATATTGTGATGGGGTAGGGTAGGGACAAGCTTTACACACTGTAAATCCATTTTCTACTATTTACTTTGACCGTGCAAAATGGGAGGGGTGAGTCAGGGGGACTCTCTAAAAATATGCTTATGGTGACTGGTATTTTTGGTTGTTGGGGAGGGGGCAGGGGTGGAAAGCAACAACTTATATCATGTAAAAGTACTTCCAAAGAAAGAGGTTATATCCTACCCCTCCCCTAACCCAACTTTTTGCATTTTTTTAGTAAGCAGTGAGGTAGTGTTAATATTGTGATGGGGTAGGGTAGGGACAAGCTTTACACACTGTAAATCCATTTTCTACTATTTACTTTGACCGTGCAAAACGGGAGGGGTGAGTCAGGGGGACTCTCTAAAAATATGCTTATGGTGACTGGTATTTTTGGTTGTTGGGGAGGGGGTGGGGTTGGAAAGCAACAACTAATGTCATGTAAAAGTACTTCCAAAGAAAGAGGTTTTTTGTGATTAGTCAGACTATTGGATTCAAACAAAAATGAGAACCACAATGACATACTAAATAAATAGTACTACAGCTGTATGTGAAAGATCGCCTAAAGAGCGTACACCATAGGTTAAGGTTTTCCATTCAAATTGGCAAACGGTAGAATTGCGCGTTATGTCCTATAATTAATCTTGCTTTGAAATTAAAGTAACGAATCTAAATCTACTTTTGCTTGTGTTTTATACCCTGCAGGAGGTCAAAGACAGCGAATTGCAATTGCAAGAGCAATTCTGAAGGTTAGTGAAGCTGTTCTTATTTACTGGTCAAATGTCAGTAATCTTTCAAACCGTGATAGACATGGAGATTCTCCAGAGCGGTCTCCATACATTTGCTTACAGAATTAGATGAGAGAATTTGTGTAAAAATCAAACATTTTCATTTAGTTGATCATTTTATCACTTCTCATAACTCTTCTCTTGATAATTTATTAATATTGTTAGGTATAAAAATTGATGCTCATCACTATTAAGAAATTTATGTAGGTTGCTTGCGGGCTCTCGAGTACAGGGCAAAGACAAGGCGAGAAAACATAAGGAGGGAGGGGAGGGTGGAGTACCTGGGTATATCAGCGTACTGAAAACAAGTTCACTCGAAACTGTCTTTCTTTAATTACTTAGAACAACATATTTTGTTTGGGAAATGTTTATGTTTTAAAATCAATCTCTTTTCCCCTTAGAATCCATCCATCCTTCTCCTTGACGAAGCAACAAGGTAATTGGGTCATGCTATTGAAAAGTAGATTTGCTACAGCTGATTTACCTAACTTATAGCTAGTGATTTAGCCAGTTAAAAGCGTTATGATTTTGAACAGCCAGGGCCTAACAGCAACTGCGCCCTCACTGAGATGTTCTAGAGTTTATAACGGACAAGAGGCTCTTTGTTACTCGTTGCGAATATCGCACCCTTCACGTTCAACTTTTGAGTGACAAGTGACTCAAATGGCGTACTTACGTCAAAGCAAAGAAATGAATTGCAAGTCAGAGATACGGAAAAAGATATTTGAAATTCATGCATTAGATACGTAGTTTTACGTATGAGAAGAGCCCTTTTTGAATATCTGCCTCCTTAGTGTCAGACAATGCGGTTTTCCTTGCTACCGAACTTAAGTGTTCAGTCGAGCCTCACCGCACAAAATCTGCCAAACAAAGCTGATTCAAACAGGCCTTCTCTTTCGTACGTAAATCATTATTTAGGTGCGGCGCGTGATGTGCTCGGTTTTAAACGAGGCTGAGTCAATGTTCATTTTCTTGTAGTGCTTTGGATGCCGAAAGTGAGCACCTTGTTCAGGAAGCTCTTGAAAGACTTATGAAGGGTCGAACGGTCATCACTATTGCTCATCGGCTCTCGACCATCAAAAATGCTGACAACATTGTGGTTTTAAACGATGGACAAATTGCCGAAGCTGGTTCTTATGCTTATTTGATGGGCAATCCGGATGGTTTGTTCAGGAAATTGGTCGAAAAGCAAACTATTGGACTTCAATAAAAACAGTATAGGTCTCTATCCATTAAACTAGTTTAGGATGCAGCTTAATGAGGTTACCCGCAAGGCAGGCTTTGAAAAAGGTTGGGAAAAAGGGAAAAAGAGAGGAGCGGGAAACGCACTCCTTTTCCCATTTCCCTTTCAGATTTCACCCCCCCCCCCCCTCCTTCCCCTCCCTTTTTTTGTGCCTGCCACCCAGGCTATTTCGAAGTTGGCGCGGCCGAGGGGTCCGAGCACAGGTACCCCAACTTCGGTATATGATTGTCGTCATTATAGCCATGGTATTGGCGATGTAAGTCAAGCTTAGTTTGAGTGAGAATTTATTCATAGTTCGTAGAATTAATCACTTTACACGTACAATTCACGTAGCAAAGATAATCCGTAAACCATCCTAGACTTCCATGTGGAAAATGAAGTTGGCAAAAGCAAAGTAACGTGATACTATGCTTTTTTAAAACATGAGGCTTCTATCTAAGATTAGTATCGAGAATGGCAAAAAAAGCAATATAATCAAACCCTGCTTTACGGACACCACTAGCCGCCTCCTCAGGCGCTTCGTTTCTCGCAAGGTAGAGGCGAGCGACTGGTGATGAGCCGCAAGGGACCATGGGAAGGGTACAGACGGCAGGCGAAGTAAGGCGAAGCCTGATGTCTCCTTCCCGCCTTCCTTTGCGCGCGAGAGAGAGACGTCTGGGTACGAGGCAGGGACACCACTATTACGGACAATTTGCCTTGTTCCTGGGCAAAGAAAGTCGTCCTTACATTTTCTCCAGATTCAGCCCGCTTAATACGAGCACTTTCTGTGGCCCCTCGGTGTCCGTATCAACGGAGTTTGACTGTAAAGGTGATGTCACACGGGACGATTCGCAACGACGATTTTTAGCGCAACACAGCGTTGCAACATTGTTTCGACATTGTTTCGAATGGTTACAACATTGGTCCAGCATTGCAACGCTGTATTGCGCTAAAAATCGTCGTTGCGAATCGTCCCGTGTAACATCAACTTAAGTTTAGAAATCTGCACGTGCATCACGCTTTTTTGTACATTTCTTTGCCGTCACTGCATGACTAAAACGTGAAAATGCCTACTTTCACGTTTTATGGAGGACATGAACACAAGACAACGACTTTCTTTTTTCTTTTCCTGAACTTCGATACAGTCTTTTAGAATTCAACTCCAGAAAAAATTGCCAAGATTTGACGAACTGAACGAAATGGAATAAGCACGATAAAGTTTGAAGCAACGCGACTTCACTTTTTAAGTGACGTTTTCGTAGCCGTCGCTGTTATTTAACCACTAGTACTTGAGTTTTGTGTTTGATTATTGGTATGTGACCGATCAAAATTTCGTTTCATAATCCCCTTTTGCCCTCCCTTCTCTCAATCTATAGCCAGGTTTCACCTGAGGCTTGCCTGATTGAAATGACTACAAACTGTGAGTACAGGGTTTGGAAGGGGGAATCGTGATCCCGCATTCCCGCTTTTTTTCACGACAATCCCGCATCCCGAACTTTTGTCATCTCCATCCCGAATACCGTTCTTTTTCTCAGTGCTAAGGTTTTAGCGAATACCGCTTGCTGAGTAGCGTTCAAATCCCGTATGCTTTCGAGAAATTTTGCTTTTTTCCCGAATCCCGCACTAGATTGCGGTCAATTCCCGGATCCTGAGAAGACACTTCCAGGAGGAACAGAAAACTATGACGCTTTCGTGTTTCCTGGGCTGCCCTTATGCCATCGCCGCTGTTAAATATTTTTAGTGGCTCTTTTGTTTTTGAAGAATTATGATTTATCGTAGAAAACCATAAGGAAGGAAACTTTAATAATTATTTAAATTGTACTTCTTGTTTATTTAAACCTTGGTAAGCCTCAGACTGCCTTCAGTGACGTCTATAATCATAGATGTGTATTTTTTAATTGAAGTTTGTAGTTAGGAGTTTTTTATTATTATTTTCATTTTTTATTTTAGAACAAAATTAAACAATAAAAAAGAAACTTAACGTTTCGATGACGTCAAGCCAATAGAGGTATTATGAACAGTTAAGAATTCAAAGTTTACTGGGTTGTGGATGTATATGTTACAGGTCAGGTTTGATTTCAGGTTAATTTTTGTTTTTGACTTAAATTTATTTTCTATTTCTTTGTTTCTTAGCCCAGAATACAACGAAATTTGCGAGTCAGTCTAGGTTAAAAATATGTTAAACCAGTGCATGTTGCGCGAAAATGGAAAAAATGGCTTTCGGTCGGGTGCAGCTCGGCAATCATCCTCGACCTGAGATCCAGAGCTCTTCTATCCTGTCATGAATCAACCAATGATTATAGTTGTTCGAAGGCCTATTAGCGCTAATCCGAGGTTAAATTTTAATCCAGTTTTTTTGTTGTTGTTGTGCGAAAGTATTTTCTAGGAAAATTTTCTCACTGCCTTTTAGAGTTTCCAATTGAACAACCCGGCCCAGTTCTTCTGTCAAGTGTAATGTGATTAGGTCCTAGTTCCCCTTAGCCTGCCCTAAACAATATAAAGACAAATTCTTGCCGACTCGGGTGCGTTCGGGGATGTAGCTCAGTGGTAGAGCGCTCGCTTCGCATGCGAGAGGCCCGGGGTTCGACTCCCCGTATCTCCACTTTATTTTATTCCTTTTTTTTTCTTTTGGTTTATTTGGTTTTTAAATTTTTATTTTCGTTTTGTTTTCTCCTCTCGATATTTGTATCAATCTCCCACCTTACTGCGCTATACAAATTTTAAAGAACTTTTCGATTTTTCATGCTTTACTTCCGGTCGGCGGAGGTCGGCGCAATCCGCAGAACGCATCATACTGCAGTCGCTAGTTTGCACGTGCCCCTCCCGCTCTATCGGCGTTTTAGTGAACTGCAACCTGTTTCAATCATGGAGAAACATCTTTTGATTGCTTCTGCAAGTGCTATAACTGCATCGGCGTTGACGGTTATAGCATATCGTTACCTTTCTAAAAGACATGAAGCCAGTGAAAATGTGTACGAGACAGAAAAGTTGATCGGAGAGTACCTTATATTTCATTATGGCACCGAAGATGAGCTTCTACCCTATGGATTTGGACCGAAAGATTCGCTTGAGTTTCCCTCGCGATGTGCGTTGGAATGTATAAAACATGCTGAGGTGAGTCTTTGATCTTATATGATAACAATGATACGTTTTTATTCATAGTGTTAAACTGTCATGTAATCAAACCTTACGTAAAAAGCTTATAAAAACGTGCTTGCAAAAAGAGAGAATTATTCTATTCTCAGGATTTCTTTTCTATAAATATTGGAGCCAGTAAGAGGCTACAGAGCGGCAGAGAAGAAAAACTCTTATGTCAGAATTTTTGCAATTCATGATATTTTTATGGTCTCATAAATATTGCATGTAAGGGAATTCAAAATCTAGACAGTCTTTGATTCTGGATTACAAGCCATGAATTCCGGATTCCAGGCCTACTGAATTCCAGATACCACTCGTAAGTGGGATTCCGGATTCCTTGAACTGTATTCCAGATTCCAAATCCTAGGATTCTTGATCCCACTAGTAAAAATTTCCCTGAAAATTTCCTGATTCTGCAAGCAAAAAGTCATGGATTCCAAAATCCGGATTCCCTTACAAGCGTTGAGTGATATGCTCGGGGAGGCTAATGCTTGTGGCAATAAACTTTTTTGCCTTTTAAACTTTCAACAGGATGATGTACCAAGCATAGCTCTGGATATTGGCTGCGCTGTTGGCCGGTCAACGTTTGAACTTGCCAAGAAATTTAATCAAGTTATAGGTATTGATTTTTCCCATGGATTCATAAATGCTGCTAACAAGCTTAAAACTTATGGAAAGTTACCCTATACTGTGCAAACTGAAGGAAGTCTTGTCTCCCAACATGTAGCAGCAGTTGACCCAGATATTGTAAGTATATAAGGCTTTAAATTATAAAAATAAAAAAAATTGTAATAATAATAAATGTAAAGAAGATCATTGCGGTTAAGTGACATCGTTAACAGTGGATGTGATGATCTTCTTTACAGTCAATTATTAATTAATTATCCAAAAGTTATATGGCTTTTAGAAAAGAAAGAGTTAATGATATAAAATATAATTTAAAAATGGCACCTTCACTGAAGACTGGTGAAATCAATCTGCAAACTGTGGTTTTCTTCCTTACTCAAATCCACTCAGAGATGTTTGAGACTAGTGTAAGTATCTATCAGATTTTAGGTCATGTGTTTGCAAAATAGAACATTTTGCTATTTTTTTCTCAAGTTGATCTTGAAAATTATCTCCTATAATTCTTTAAAAGAACAGTCCCAGAGAATTCACACAAAACATTTTTGGCTGTTCCTTTTTATAAATAAATTGAAATAAATATGTATTATTATTTTTCTCTGTTACATGTACACATACAATATGATGTAGCCACATCAAGGGGCTATAAAATCATGCAGATAATTGCAGTTGGCTTTGAAAAAGAGCCTTTTTTTGTCTTTCTCTAAGGGAGGCTGTGCCAGTGGGCAGGGTGTGGTTTTCTAGCAGTGTAGGCTGGGAGTGGGTAAGGAAATCAATTGCAAGTACTTTGCTTAGGAGACAGGTTCCCAGTGGCACATACTCAACCTTAAAATTTACGTAATTGCTGCTCACCTTCCCCCGTTCCTGGCCATAAGTTAGAGGGGATATTCTTTAGAGCTTGAACATTAGAGATGGCTATCAGACGACACTAGGGGCATATTTCTCCATACAGTCAAACTCCATTAATACAGACACTGAGTGGGCCATAGAAAATATCCATATTAACTGGGTTAAATTTAGAGAAAATGAAGGGGCTTTCTTTCCCCAGGAATAAAGAAAACTGTTCATAATAGTGAGATGTCTGTATTTATTGGGTGTTTATTGGGTTTGACTGTATTTTCTTGGAGGAGATATAAAGATGATCTACTCATCAACTGTGGTTTGGTACATGTGGTTTGTCGTGTTGCATTTTTACCAATCAACAGCTTGCATGACTAATAATTATTCTGATCATTGCTATGGGGCAGTGTTTTTTAAATTGCATACAGTGACTCCTTAAATACCAACTTGACACTTTGTAACCATTTTTATCAAATTTGTTAACTATTTTAGGACAGAAGTCGTGTTTCCTTTTATCAAGGAGATGCTTGTAACTTGCCATCTGACTTAGGGCAATTTGGCTGTGTTCTTGCTGCAAACTTAGTCTGCCGTCTTCCTAATCCGTACCAGTTTCTTGAGAGGTTGCCGTCTCTTGTAGCTCCTGGTGGTACTTTGGTTATTACATCACCCAATTCTTGGATGGAAGAGTTTACTCCAAAAGTAAGTTGAAAAAAACCTGAACAAAAAACTTCATTTTGATTGAAAAAATGAAAGCAATTTTTACCAATTCTGTGGTCACTACATAACTGGGAAAACTGTGAACACCGGAAATATTTCTGGAATGTTATTGTGGTGCAAGAAAAAAAACAATCAGGCGTGAGAAAACTAAACTACAAGCAAGAATGTTGATTAGTTTGTGGTTCTGTGGCTTGTCCACATGTCTTGATCTTTGCTGTGATTGGTCGTAACACAATAAACATTCCTGAAATGTTTCAAGTGTTCACGGTTTTCCCAGTTGCACTGTAAAAGTGAGACTACATGTGTATTTAACTGAAATGGGATTAGAAACTTTTATATGAAAATGAAAATTGGATTACATAGATAGATGTAGGATAATGAGTGGCTCCATAAAATATCAATACCTCTGCCACAGACCCAGATTTTTTCCATGCAACCCCTCCTCTCTGCTCCAATTTTCCAAAAACAGCCTCATTGAAAAAACCTATCCTCTGTCCAAATTCCTAACTTTGCACCCCCTGAAAATATTTTCATAAAGACCACCAAAATGCAAATGGTAAAGGTGGTAAAATTTTCCAATCTTTTATAATTTTATTAATTTAAGTATTTTTTTGTTAACTTTGTGCAGAATCTTTGGCTTGGGGGCTTCAAAGATGCTGAAGGAAAAAATGTGACTGGACTAGATACCCTTAAAAGGTGCCTTGGACCAGACTTTGAGCTGATAGAAGATAAACCCATGTCATTTTTCATAAGAGAAACAGCACGTAAAAACCAGTGGACTGTAGCCCATGCGTCCATATGGAAGAGAAGAAAACCTTGATTTGACTTAACAATGACATTACAAAAACAATGAAAGGACCTTATCAGGAACTAACATAAAAGAAAATTTGTTTGTTTGGATTTATTTATCGTGCATTGTTGAGGTCCTTCCTGCATGCAAGTCTCACAGATTGCAGTGCAATAATAAAGGACTGTCAGTTCAGAGAGTAATGTGTACTCCCTCTGCAATGTTGTGAGAAAACCAACAGAGCCACTAACCCAAAATAATCTTCAACATACAACCCTGAGTGCCTGACATCTGTTTTGAAAGTTATTCATGTCACCACGATACCATCCTAGGTAACTATAATGCTTTTTATTTAACTTGCAGACTTAGATATGAACAATTTGCTGCACCTTCTCTGACATTTTTCACCAATAAATGTTGTATTCTATAACATCGCACTCCAGACAGTTCACAAAGTATCTAAATTATTACCAATTATTAGCTGGGGTCTGGGCACTCAAACCAAAAACTCTTTGTCAGGGGTAATTTTCGGAGAAAAAAGTACCGTATTTTATCAGCTGATATAAGCCGAGCAATTTTTACACAAGTATAGCCTAACTTGAATTAGATAATTAACTGGTTCTTTCATTTCACTTTAGCAGATTTTAAAAGCTAAATGTGATTCAAATTTTTCATGAGCTCTTATACGTTTTAAGAAATGGATCTCGGCTTATAGCTGAATGTTTTGTGTTTATGTTTGAAGACGATTGTCTCAAGTGTAAGAGTTAAAAGTTTCTAATGGGCTCGGCTTATAACTGATAAAATGCAGTGTATTTAAAAGACTACTTTGAAAGCAGAAAACAGCAAGAGACATTAAAACTTATCCTACAGCCTGTTTAGCAAATAAGTTGCTTTATTTCTATTTTAAAGACACTCAATAATGCTGAAAACACCGATACAATAAACTTATACCAGTAAACAATCAATATCAACATGTTCTTATCAGATTGACTTTATCTTAAATGCACCGAAACATAACAATGTTGTTTTCTTGGAAAAGGTTTGGATCACAGCTGTAGTAGTCTCAGTAAGCTTCAATTTTCAGTCTCAATCTTGATGAAATCCTTTTCCTCAGGCTTCTCCAGCTTTTTGGCCTCAATACTGAGAATACCTTCTTTTGACAAACGAGACTTAAAGGAGTCTCTGTCAATATTCCTGGGCAGTGAGTATGAACGGACAAAATGGCGTGTGGAGTAACCATCATCACTCTTCGCCTCTTGCTTGCCTTCCACCACTAACTCACCATTTTCTGAGCGGATGGTAATTTCCTCTGGCTTGAACTTTGACACATCAAAGGACACCTATTTGTTTGATGACAAAAAAATAATAAGATTATTATGAAATCGTCGTTAGAGTCGAATCCATTTCATTATCACAATCATCATTATCCCATTGTCGTCATTATTACCAATCCTGTATTTTAAGGCAAATCTGTTGATTAAGCAGACAGCACCTCTTAAGCTGTCACCATTGCTCTCATACACCTTATTCCAAAATGGTGAATACTTTATTATTCTTTTATGTTATTATTTACGTTAATTAGCCCTCGATGCCTCAATTCCAGCTAGAAATTCTTTTGAATTCTCAAGATATGATCAAGGCATTGAGGGCTAATTAACATAACTATAAAAGAATAATAAAATTGTCGCCATTTTGGAATATGGTGTATTAGTTGCCCAGGTCTCTACCCTTGCCTTATCACCCCTCCCTGCTGAATGAATTCCCCTAATCGGTAATTATTATTACTTGTTATCATTAGCTTACTTTGAAGGTGTCATGATCTTCCTTGAGTTCCTCCTGAGTCTTTTGCTCTGCTTTTGTGGCTGGTTCTTTTTCATTCGTGAAGCTCTTCTTTTTTGTCCTTCCCCTCCCTGTCTCAACAAACTCTATGTAAGTGTAGCTTGTTCCAACTCGTGGCTTTGTATACCAAGGTGTATACCATGATTGCCATAGGGATGGAAAGTAACGATCATAATTTGGCCAAAGGTATGAAGCATTCCTAGGCATTGACATGTAATGGAAATAAATAAATTTAAAATACTTTCAGCTATTTTCCAGTATCTTTCCAAAATATTAAATACATAAGTCCAAAATTTGACAGACTGATTTTGAGTATCGATGAAAGGCTGCCTATAAACAAGTTAAGCCGGGGCATAGATCATGTGCAGATAAAACTGGTAGTGCATTTGCCAACAGCATTCGCCATATGTTTAGTTTATTCGTGGTTTTCCCGGGAAAATAATTTGCTACTATGTCAGACAGCTGGGCGATAACTTACCGAATGCGATGCACCGCTGGCAAAAGCATACGAATTCTTGGGAAAAAGGACATTTTGATGCTTTCAACCCCGTTGTCAAAGCTCTCGAATATAGAGTGACGTTCTTTTTTGAAGATTCAGCCTTCTTTTACACAAACTCAACTCGTGTGGAACTGCATGGCAGTGATGTAAACAAACTTCGCGGTACAGGGGCCCATTGCCATATATGGAGGTTTTACCGGAAGTTTCGTCAGAAAATCTGGAACCAGGAATGCGCGGTCATGCTGACGGAAGTTGATGAAATGATTGCACGATCTTTTGTTTTTCTGGAAAATTCTCATGACTTCGCAAAATTAATTTTGCATCAGTGAACTGGCTCCTGCCTGAACTGGACCATGTCGTAGGGTGGTGACAAAGCGGAAAATTTCCGCAGTAAATTTCCATTTTGGTTGGTTGGGTAGTCGTCGCCCATGGCTATTTTTTTATTTTATTATTATTTTTTTTTTTAAAGTTGACTAAGAACTGACAAAACAAAAACACAGAGAGGAAGCGTTTACCACTTTAGTTGAATTTGAATGCGGTCGTTCGCGTACGTTTAACAAATCGAAGGAGATGGAGTTTAAAGCGGCTTCTTCTATTTTTCTCTTTTCTATTTAGTATTTGTTTCCTTCTTTTTCACGGTCTGTCAGGAGCCTGGGCTCGATCTCTCGTTAGTAGCTTAGCTACCACGCACTAAGCGGTGTGTAGAAAAAAAACCGGTAAACATGAAGAATAGCTTGCCGGACGATTCAACTTTCAAGTTTTGTGAGGAATAATAGTTGCAGATTTGTCTCAGGATAAGAGTCAGAAGAATGTGCTGTACCGACATCATCATTGAGGCCAGCCACAACTCTACTGTTAATATTCATCAGGTAATTCAGTTGCTAAATATGTAAACTCCAACGTTGCAGCCATTAGCGTTGCAAGGCTTACAGTTATGATTTATACTCTCCTCGTCGCCAATGGCTTCATGTCGTCACCGAGTACAGTCCAGGCTTATTGTGTTTGTAGTCACAGTAGTATTGCAGCATCATTTCTTCCTCTATTTTTCCTTTAGTTGTTGTGATTTACTCATATGAGTAACAGTTTTATTGACTTGTAACATGTACATGAAATCGGAGCTGATTCATCCTTCATTAATTTTTGCTACTAGTGTCATACGTTTTGCTGTAGACACTACCACATTTGTTACCCACAAAGGGATGAAGCAGCACTGGTGTATCTTCTTGTCCTTTAGCTTAAAATAATGATATATGTGTAACACAACAATCTTGGATTTACTTATCCCCAATCCAGAGAAACAAAGGAAGGTTGAAAACATCTTAAAAGCAGGTTAACAGCTCTTCCCTCCCCTGATGCTGTGCCTGGACGTGGCAGGGAGGCTTGTGTGCCCTTATGACCCCTAGTGCTATGATGGCGGGAGTTTTGCTGCTGGCAGGTTCAACTATGCCGGATTGGTCAAAGGGAGAGAGGCCAGACTAAATAGCACTCTAGTCCTCCGGGCTAACAACCCTGCCTTGTAAAACACCGCTTGCTAATGAAACCTCACGAGGAAAAAAAGGATAGAAGAACCTAGGTGCAGCTCTGTGTACCTTGCCTGCGTTGCAGATGCTCTAAACCTTCTGTATAGAACGTCTGCGAATTAGTACACAAAATCTTGTTCAAATCCCACACAGTCACCACGACATATGTTGGTGTTTTTGATTGGGTAGTTTCTTATGCAGTTTGTGATTAGTCCGATTTGAATTAAGTGTTGACAGGCCAAACACAATTAATAGCTTGTGACAAGAGAGATTTAGCTCGTGATAGTGTGAAACGTGACCTTAGTGTTAGCTTGAACAACAGAGGTTTTTCTTGTTTTCTTTTTGTGTAGTTTATGCAGTGCATGGAGTATTCTATACTTTGACCGAGCAATTTTTTTTGCCGCTTTCAGTCTCACATTAGAGGTTAGGAGTCTTAGGAATCTGGTCTGTTCCATGCATATTGAATAAACCACAGGAACTAATAATATTATTAGTTCCTGTGGTTTATGTTTCTGCAGTGACACAGGATTTGATGATGATCCCAGATGCAGTTTACCATGAATTGATTTTCGCGTACCCCTGTTTAAGCCTTAGGCTTTTTACACAGCAGTGCATCTGCAGCTATTTTAAGATGCTGGAAAACAACTGCATCCACAACTGCATCCCTGATGTCTTCCTCATACATTCCAGATACCAGATTGGAAACTTGAAGAAGGTATGAGATTGGATTCCTTACAGTGGCTGGTTGCTTGTGTATGGCCAGATTCTAATGAAAGCGGTACTTGTGGTAGGTGCAGTGCATTGTCTGATGAACTGTTCAGCGGAAGCCAGTGCCACTTAATCTGCATAACACAAGATATCAGATATCATAGAACTGGCCAGCCAATTAAACCAGTAAGTATGGAAACCTGAAAACTCATACTAACAGTTCTTCCTATCTGTAGTGTTCAACGGCAAAAGCATGCCTGTTGCCTTCTCTTTTTTTTGTGGTGTCAACATGGCAATCAGAGGAATTCAAGCACCACCCAACAGTATTAAATCCAGGATACCCAACATGCCTACTGAGTCAGTACTCATACTGACTGATCTGCTACACTTGTGATCATCGATCCACTTCTGCATCCCTGACGTCTGCCTCATACACTCCAGGTACCAGAATGGAAACTTATGGTCATGGAAGATACTACTTGTACATGAGATTGGATTCCTCAAAGTGGCTGGATGCTTTTGTATGGCCAGATTCCAATGGAAACTGAACTTGTGGAAGCTGTAGTGGTGTTTAGCCGATGAACTGTTTTGGCAGAAGCCAGCATCACTTATTAATAATCTGAATAACTCAAGTGTTCGGATATCATAGAACCGGTCAACCAATAAACCAGCAAGTATGGAACCTAAAAACTCATGCTACCTGTTCTTCCCTATTAATTTTGTAGTATTTAACTACAAGTGCATCCCTGATGCCTGCCCTTTTTGCTGTGATGTCAACCTGGCAATTAGAGAAACCCAGCACCCAACTCCAGGAAATTCAGGATACCCAACGTGCCTTCCCAGTCAGGGCTCATACTGACTATATATGTACCCCATACATTCCAAAAACCAGACAGGAAACTTATGGAAGATACTACTTGTATGAGATTGGATTCCTTACGGTGGCTGGATGCTTGTGTATCGCCGGATTTCAATGAAAACTGAACTTGTGGAAGGTGTAGTCTGTGGTGTTTTGCTGATGAACTGTTTCAGCAGAGACCGGTATCACTTAATCTGCATAACACAAGAGATCAGATATCATAAAACCGGTCAACCAATAAACCAGTAAGTGAGGAAACCTAAAAACTCATGCAACTGTTCTTCCCTATCTGTAATGTTCAACTACAAGTGCATCTTTAATGCCTGCCCTTTTTCTGTGATGTCAACCTGGCAATTGGAGAAACCCACCACCCAACTCCAGGAAATCGAGGATACTCAACACTCCTACTCAGTCAGTACTTGTACTGACTGTTCCTTTACAATAATTATTATTGTGTGATCATCATCAGTGGACTGGCAGGATTTGAAGGAACAAGAATTTCATTTTCACCTTGAATAATACATTTAATGCTGGAACACATTGATTTAAAAATCTTTTTTCATCTTTTTTATCTTTTTTTGAAGTTAATAGTAAGGTTGTTTGAAGATAACTGGTCTGCCACAAAGTAGACAGCTGAGCTGAAATGGAGACGTCTGACTGTTATCTAGTCCTCCAGATTTTGAAAATGCCATAGTTTGGTGGTAAGCAACTTTGTTGTTTTTATTTTATCTCCTCCTGGCCACTGGAACAGTTACTAAACAATGTCTTTTCATGTAACAATTTAAGAACTTACCTTTTTACAAAGCATGACATTGTTATTATGACTATTTTATTTTTATTGATTGATTGACTTAAAGCACCTAGAGCAGAACTGGACTAAGTGCTGTACAAATTATTATTATTATTATTGTTACTATTATTAATATGATGATGATGATGATGATGATGATGATGATGCATAATCTCAGTGTTCAGCTCCCAGGGACCCCACTCACATATTTTAATGACGGAGGGGTCCGAAGGATTTTTTTGGGTCTGATATTTTGGCCAAAAGGGATTTTTTTGGGCCTACGAAAGACGCTTGGATTTTTTTGGGTCGCGAAAACAACACAGGGATTTGTTTGGGTATTGTATTTTTCATCAGCTCAAATCAACAATAACATAAGCGCAATTTACTGCTTGTGTGGTATTACGGGATATTTCTGAGATTGTAATTTATGTGAAAAGTAATTACCGGCACTCCATGCGCATCTAATGCAGAGAGAAATATTCAATAGGTCATGTAATTCAAGGCCTTTCAAGCCAGTCATCAAGACCACAATGGAAACACTGTATACAAAGTAAACTGAGGGATTTTTTTGGGTATGCTAAAAAAAGTAGGGATTTTTTTGGGTAGACAAATTCTGAAGTTGGGATTTTTTTGGGTATAAAATATGAACCTCTGTTGCACCATCCCCCCCGTCATTAAAATATGTGAGTGGGGCCCCTGGGGTTCAACTGGTAGCCAGCCCTGGTACAAGTCCTATACACAACCTTAGTAGTCAAGACACCGTCAAAGGATTCGAACTGTTCTTAATAGGGCAGTCTTTTGAATCTGAGCCACATCAAGATTCACCCCTATGCTTTCAAGTTGGCCAACTAATTCTTTTATTGGGATTGTCCTAAGTGCCCCGATATTAACAATAGGCACAACTCTTGTTTTGACTTTCCACGGTTTTCTCAGTTCTTTTGCCAGGTCTTGATATTTATCAATCTTCTCTTTCTCTTTCAGTTCCACCCTAGCATCCCCTGGTATAGCTACATCAATAATTTGCTGGTCTGTCATTAGCAGGAAAGTAGAGCTCAGCTGGAGAAGAATAGTAAAATGGATAATAAGATGGATTGCTGGTAAGACTTAATTTTTTTGTTCTTTTATTTTTCTTTCCTAGCTTTCAAAAGCTCATAGTTAAGCTACAATTGACGACAAAATGAGTTGAGACACTTCGCCCTAAATGGGCTTTTTGATGTTTTCTGGACTTCAAAAGGGGAAAAGATAGCTTTTCCTCCCCCATCCCCTCCATGCAATGTTGTGCCACTGTTCGAGCTACCTTTAGAAAACAAGAAACATCCCAACTTTGAATGGAGGGGATAGGGTAGGGGTGTGGATTCTTATGTTCTCTGAAGTTACCGTATTTGAGTACAATGTCTCAACAATTTTGTCGCCGATTGTAGCTAATAACACAAGTATTAGTTATGTATTTTTAATTAACTTTATTTACTACGGATTTTTTTATTCCTCATTTTTCAGCATGTTCTTCACCGATTCAGGTCGTAAATTGCCATGGTTTTTGGCATTATTTTTCCACCACACCCCTTATCTGTGTCAGTTGATAAGTGAGACAAAGACAGAATCTACTGCTGAGTCTGAAAGTTACTTAATTTTTAGTGGAAACTACCCCAGTCCTGCAGAGCTCCCTTTTAAGAAACATAATTATTTCTGTTGGTGCAAAGAGTTTAGTGACCCACTGTACATCTACAACCATGAAACTTGTCTCTTATCAGAATTCCTCAATAAGAACAGTATCTTTTTATTTCCCAGTAAAGCATATATAAAAGTGTGTAATCAACTTACAATGCCTATTTACAGGTCAACGACATTTTGCAGTATTCATTGAATCCAGCAAAAGGACTTAATGTTGTGATTCAGCACTCTGGAAATAATTATTATCTCAAGTGTCCAGATACTTATCAATATTTCTAGGTCATTTTCTTGGGCTCAAGGTATCTTGATTATTCCATGAGCAATTTCAGTAGGTAACTCATTGCTTCTTGGTCAGGCCCAGGATACCTTTGAAGTGGGGTACAGCTGGCCTGGCATTTTCCTAATAGAGGCAAATGGACGAATGGACAGGTTCTTAACCCAGCTGTTGTTCTGCAACCGCATTTCAGGTAACGGTTACCGAACTTTGACTGCCAAAAATAAGCGTTGAAACTGTTTGCATTTCGTTTTAAATTTAATCTTACTCACAAATAGCCTGAATTTCATCCGATTACTTCGAGTCGTTATTACTCCCTCAGAAAACTACTCGAAGCAATCGGATGAATTTCAGGCTAACTCACAAAGACAGCAATAAACTGAGAGTGAAAGTGGCTTTGTGTGTTTCTTTATTTTACCAGGGAAGCAAATAGATTTTATAACAGGGCCATAAACACTGTCTCCTGGAACGGAGTCCTACTATTAAAGACAACTGAATCAGGCAAAAAAATCATGTTGCATGATGTTCTCGACAAAAATGAAGTCTTTCTGGACTACCTTTTGGTTACCCATGATTTTGGTCAAAAATTTCAATTTTTCTTTACTTAATATTATTATTCTTATTTGGATTATTCCAAAAGGTGTAACCCATGATTTTGGCCAAAAAATTCAATATTTTCTTTATTTATTTTTTCCTTGAAATAAAGCCAGAATATGTACAAAGTGCTGTTCTAGATAAAAAAGATGCCCTTCTTTTCTATAAAAATGTTCATTTTTCAAAGTCCCAAACACGGAATTTTTCCAAGGGGGTTAACCCGTTTTTTCTTTCTAGAATATCGTGAAACAAATTTTCCTGGCCTATTTTGCCTAAAATACAAACTTAAGCTGGAAAAATTGCCACTTTTTAACCAAACCATGGACTAACCTTGGAAAAATCCCAATTTGTAGAAGTTTTAAAGTTGTTGTTTTCATAGGCTAGAAAGGACTTCTTTTCTTTCTAGAATATGGTGAAACACATTTTCCTGCCCTATTTTGCCTAAACTAAAAAACGGAAAAATTGCCACTTTTTGACCAAACCCATGGACTAACCCCTTAAGAAAAATCCTCATTCAACGACTTTTTTAACTTCTTGTTTTTATAATCTAGAAAGGTATTTTTTCTCCCTAGAATACCTTGAAAACACATTTTCCTGGCGTATTTTGTCTCAAATAAAAAAATTGAAAAATTGCCAATTTTTGACCACAGCCATGGACTAACCCCTTCAGAAAAATTCCTTTCCTCGACTTTTTAAACTCGTTGATTTTATTGTCCAGAAAGGCTTTTTTTCTTTCTAGTATATCTTGAAACACATTTTCCTGGCGTATTTTGCCTCAAATAAAAAAATGGAAAAATTTGCAATTTTTGATCAAAACCATGGACTAACCCCTTTGGGAAATTCAGAATTTTTCGACTTTTTTCAACTTGTTGTTTTTATACTCTAAAAAGGCATTTTTTTCTTTCTATAATACCTTGAAAGACATTTTCCTGCCGTATTTTGCCTAAAATAAAAAAATGGAAAAATGGCCAACTTTTGACCAGAACCATGAACTAACCCCTTTGGAAAAATCCCGATTTTTCGACTTTTTTAACTTGTTGTTTTTATAGTCTAGAAAACCTTTTTTCTTTCTAGAATATATTAAAACACACTTTCCTCGCCTACTTTGCCTAAAATCAAAACATGAAAAAATTAAAAATTTTTGACCAAAACCATGGACTAAACCCTTTCTGAAAATCCCAATTTTTTAACTTTTTCAACTTCTTCTTTTTATAGCCTAGAAAGGCATTTTTTCCTTCTAGAATATCGTAAAACACATTTGTCAAAATGTCAATTTTTCGACTGTTTTAAACTTGTTGTTTTTATAGCGTATAAAGACGTTTTTTCTCTCTAGAATATCATAAAAGACATTTTCCTGGCCTATATTGCCTAAAAAAAAAAGTTAAAAAACAGGCCATTTTGGGACCAAAACCATGGGTTAACACCTTTGAAAAAATGTCAATTTTTCGACTTTTTGAACTTCTTCTTTTTATAGCCTCGAAAGGCGATTTTATGTTCTCAAATATCATAAAAGACGTTTTCCTAGCCTATATTGCCTAATAAGAAAAAATTGGAAACATGGCCATTTTTGGACAAAAACCATGGGTTAACCCCTTTGGGAAAATGTCAATTTTTCGACTTTTTGAACTTCTTTTTTTCATAGCCTAGAAAACCGTTTTTTCCTTCTAGAATTTCGTAAGAGACATTTTCCTGGCCTATATGGGTTAACCCCTTTGGAAAAATGTCAATTTTTCGACTGTTTTCAACTTGTTGTTTTTATAGCGTATAAAGGCGTTTTTTGTCTCTAGAATATCATAAAAGACATTTTCCTGGCCTATATTGCCTAAAAAAAAAAGTTGAAAAAATGGCTATTTTTGGACCAAAACCATGGGAACCCCTTTGAAAAAATGTCAATTTTTCGACTTTTTGAACTTCTTTTTTTCATAGCCTAGAAAAGCGTTTTTTCGTTCTAGAATTTCGTAAGAGACATTTTCCTGGCCTATATTGCCTAAAAAAAACAAAGTGGCAAAAATGGCCATTTTTGGACCAAAACCATGGGTTAACCCCTTTGCAAAAATGTCAATTTTTCGACTTTTTTAAACTTCTTGTTTTTATAGCCTCGAAAAGCGTTTTTATGTTCTCGAATATCATAAAAGACGTTTTCCTAGCCTATATTGCCTAATAAAAATAAAATTGGAAACATAGCCATTTTTGGAAAAAACCATGGGTTAACCCCTTTGGGAAAATGTCAATTTTTCGACTTTTTGAACTTCTTTTTTTCATAGCCTAGAAAAGCGTTTTTTCGTTCTAGAATTTCGTAAGAGACATTTCCTGGCCCATATTGCCAAAAAAAAAACAAGTTGAAAAAATGGCTATTTTTGGACCAAAACCATGGGTTAACCCCTTTGGAAAAATGTCAATTTTTCGACTGTTTTAAACTTGTTGTTTTTATAGCGTATAAGGGCGTTTTTTGTCTCTAGAATATCATAAAAGACATTTTCCTGGCCTATATTGCCTAAAAAAAAAAGTTAAAAACCGGGAATTTTGGGACCAAAACCATGGGTTAACCCCTTTGAAAAAATGTCAATTTTTCGACTTTTTGAACTTCTTTTTTTCATAGCCTAGAAAAGCGTTTTTTCGTTCTAGAATTTCGTAAGAGACATTTTCCTGGCCTATATTGCCTAAAAAAAACAGTTGAAAAACAGGCCATTTTGGGACAAAAACCATGGGTTAACCCTTTCGAAAAAATGTCAATTTTTCGACTTTTTGAACTTCTTGTTTTTATAGCCTCGAAAAGCGTTTTTATATTCTCGAATATCATAAAAGACGTTTTCCTAGCCTATATTGCCTAATAAAAATAAAATTGGAAACATAGCCATTTTTGGAAAAAAACATGGGTCAACCCCTTTGGGAAAATCTCAATTTTTCGACTTTTTGAACTTCTTTCTTTCATAGCCTAGAAAAGCGTTTTTTCGTTCTAGAATTTCGTAAGAGACATTTTCCTGGCCTATATTGCCAAAAAAAATAAGTTGAAAATATGCCCATTTTTCGACCTAAACCATGGGTTAACCCCTTTGGAAAAATGTCAATTTTTCGACTGTTTTAAACTTGTTGTTTTTATAGCGTATAAAGGCGTTTTTTGTCTCTAGAATATCATAAAAGACATTTTCCTGCCCTATATTGCCTAAAAAAAAAAAGTTAAAAAACAGGTCATTTTGGGACCAAAACCATGGGTTAACCCCTTTGAAAAAATGTCAATTTTTCGACTTTTTGAACTTCTTGTTTTTATAGCCTCGAACGGCGTTTTTATGTTCTCGAATATCATAAACGTTTTCCTAGCCTATATTGCCTAATAAAAAAAAAATGGAAACATGGCCATTTTTGGAAAAAAACCATGGGTTAACCCCTTTGGGAAAATGTCAATTTTTCGACTTTTTGAACTTCTTTTTTTCATAGCTTAGAAAAGCGTTTTTTCCTTCTAGAATATGATAAAAGACATTTTCCTGGCCTATATTGCCTAAAAAAAAAGTGGCAAAAACAGCCATTTTTGGACCAAAACCATGGGTTAACCCCTTTGCAAAAATGTCAATTTTTCGGCTTTTTTAAACTTGTTGTTTTTATAGCCTACAAAGGCGTTTTTTGTCTCTCCAATATCCTAAAAGACAATTTCTTAGCCTACATTGCCAAAAAAAAAAAGTTGAAAAAATGGCCATTTTTGGACCAAAACCATGGGTTAACCCTTTGGAAAAATGTCAATTTTTCGACTTTTTCAACTTCTTCTTTTCATAGCCTAGAAAGGCGTTTTCTCCTTCTAGAACATGATAAAAGACATTTTCCTGGCCTATATTGCCTAAAAAAAAAGTGGCAAAAACAGCCATTTTTGGACCAAAACCATGGGTTAACCCCTTTGCAAAAATGTCAATTTTTCGGCTTTTTTAAACTTGTTGTTTTTCTAGCCTACAAAGGCGTTTTTTGTCTCTCAATATCCTAAAAGACAATTTCCTAGCCTACATTGCCTAAAAAAAAAAGTTGAAAAAATGGCCATTTTTGGACCAAAACCATGGGTTAACCCCTTTGGAAAAATGTCAATTTTTCGACTTTTTCAACTTCTTGTTTTTATACCCTAGAAAGGCGTTTTTTCGTTCTAGAATATCATAGAAGCCGTTTTCCTGTCCTATATTGCCTAATAAAAAAAAATTGCAAAATGGCCATTTTTGGACCAAAACCATGGGTTAACCCCTTTGGAAAAATTTCCATTTTTCGACTTTTCGAACTTGTTGTTTTTATAGCCTCAAAAAGCGTTTTTTCCTTCTAGAATATCATAAAAGACGTTTTCCTGGCCTATATTGCCAAAAAAAAAAATAATTGCACACATGGCCATTTTTGGAAAAATGTCAATTTTTCGACTTTTTCAACTTCTTGTTTTTATAGCCTCGAAAGGCGTTTTTATGTTCTCGAATATCATAAAAGACGTTTTCCTAGCCTATATTGCCTAATAAAAAAAATTTGAAAACATAGCCATTTTTGGAAAAAAACCATGGGTTAACCCCTTTGGGAAAATGTCTATTTTTCGACTTTTTGAACTTCTTTTTTTCATAGCCTAGAAAAGCGTTTTTTCGTTATAGAATTTCGTAAACGACATTTTCCTGGCCTATATTGCCAAAAAAAAAACAAGTTGAAAAAATGCCCATTTTTGGACCAAAACCATGGGTTAACCCCTTTGGAAAAATGTCAATTTTTCGACTGTTTTCAACTTGTTGTTTTTATAGCGTATAAAGGCGTTTTTTGTCTCTAGAATATCATAAAAGACATTTTCCTGGCCTATATTGCCTAAAAAAAAAAGTTGAAAAAATGGCTATTTTTGGACCAAAACCATCGGAACCCCTTTGAAAAAATGTCAATTTTTCGACTTTTTGAACTTTTTCTTTTTATAGCCTAGAAAGGCGTTTTCTCGTTGTAGAATATGATAAAAGACATTTTCCTGGCCTATAATGCCTAAAAAACAAAGTGGCAAAAATGACCATTTTTGGACCAAAACCATGGGTTAACCCCTTTGCAAAAATGTCAATTTTTCGACTTTTTTAAACTTGTTGTTTTTATAGCCTAGAAAGGCGTTTTTTCTCTCTAGAATATCATAAAAGACAATTTCCTGGCCTATATTGCCTAAAACAAAAGGTTGAAAAAATGGCCATTTTTGGACCAAAACCATGGGTTAACCCCTTTGGAAAAATGTCAATTTTTCGACTTTTTGAACTTCTTGTTTTTATACCCTTGAAAGGCGTTTTTTCGTTCTATAATATCATAAAAGACGTTTTCCCGGCGTATATTGCCTAATAAAAAAAATTGGAAAATGGCCATTTTTGGACAAAAACCATGGGTTAACCCCTTTGCAAAAATGTCAATTTTTCGAGTTTTTCCAACTTTTTCTTATTATAGCCTAGAAAGGCGTTTTTTCTTTCTAGAATATCATAAAAGCCATTTTCCTGGCCTATATTGCCCAAAAAAAACAACTTGCAAAAATGGCCATTTTTGGACCAAAACCATGGGTTAACCCCTTTGGAAAAATGTCAATTTTTCGACTTTTTGAACTTCTTGTTTTTATACCCTCGAAAGACGTTTTTTCGTTTTAGAATATCATAAAAGACGTTTTCCAGGCGTATATTGCCTAATAAAAAAAAATTGGAAAAATGGCCATTTTTGGACAGGAACCATGGGTTAACCCCTTTGAGAAAATGTCAATTCTTCAACTTTTTTAAACTTGTTGTTTTTATAGCCTAGAAAGGCGTTTTTAGT